AAAGCACTATGTTTTGTGACAAGTAAAGGGGGTAACCCATAGCTGGTGTATGGGGAGGGGGAGTCTCCACCTCTCCAGCCACTTCCCACCCACCAGCCTATGTGTGTGGGCAGAGGGTGAGGGCCCATGGAATACGCTCTCCCATTCAGGTTTGGACCACAGATATGGGAAGTCTGTGCAGGGCAAGCAATAATCTTCCCCTTAGTGATTATCAGGTTATCAGGCTTGACTGCTGAAGTGGCATTGCCAGTTCTCTAGATGAAGTTTGGAGCAATGGACACTTGTGTTTTTATTTTACAATGGGGCATTGTTCTTGTGGTGGTTCAACCTCATTTTACATTATGTTCTCTACATAACTCTCTCAGGAGTTCCTCTTGCTGTTCTTAAGCCTGGTTCAGGTTTTTTTTTCTTCTCACTTTTGCCTGATTGTATCTATTCCATTCCTTACAGAGTAGCTAGGCAGAAGTGGGAGATAGGAGGCCAAAGTCAGGAGTAAAACCAAGGGCTTGATCTCTGGGTGCACCAGATTCTTGGGCTGCTGATGTTCAACAGAACCCTGGCATAACCTAGTGCCACCACCTGGCATACAGCAGCTCACTAGCATCACACTTTAGCTCCAGCCTGGCACACTCCCATCATTAGTTAGGGAAGCCTTGTTGAGTATTGGCCTAGAGCTGGGGAACAGGCATCAAGCCATTGCCGGGTGGGCTAGGGTCACCTGACCACTACAGAAAAGGGGGCGGGGAGAAGGCACCAGAGAGAAAGTAGGGGTACATATAAAAAGGGTGTATCAATATTTAATTCATCATCATCATCTATATCCAAAATCTTTAGTCCCATTTCTTAGTAAGTTCTCTTACCTCTCCGGCAACTCCCAAGATAATTTCCTAGGGAAGCAGCCCCGACACTTCCCAAACTCAGTCCCTTTTCCCCATGGCGATTGTTCCTCCTCCTGCCCCTTTCTAGAGCTGTTTTCCCCATGACACCTCCTTCAGCCTCCCCTGTCTTCTTAGTGTCATGTCTCCTCTCCTCACACTTAGCTGCCTCTGGTTAACATAGGGTATGTCTACACAGCAAAGAAAAACCCATGGCTGTGCCAGATGACTCAGGCTCACAGGGCT